TTCAAAATGAAATGTTAAAAAAAAGCTATCTGGGTTTTGTATGTGTTGGGATACAAACCTGTGTGTGAATACTCTACTGGCATGGGCTTGCTCTATCTGTAAAGCAATTGTGTGTTTGTTGTGTTGTGTTGTGTTGGTGTGTTGTGTTGGTGTGTGGTGTGGTGTTACATTGTGTTGCATTGTATTGTAACCCAGAGCAGCAGCAGCCAAAAGTCTTTGGATGTGGACACACTTTATCCCTACGGGGTGCTGTGTTATGATTCCCAGAGAGCCAGAGACTAGAGAGAGAATCGGTCCCCCAAGTTATAGTATCACCCTAGAAATAGATACAGCCTCTGACTCTAAACGGAGGCCTACATTAATGGCTTTCAATCATTAGCAGAAGTCCACTTTTCAAATGAAATCTTACATAAAACATTAACTTCTGAAAAGCAAAAATTGTGTTGATCTGGTTTCAGTAGGACTTGGGGCATCCAGAAGTTTTCCGAGTAACTCTGGAAGGAGCTTTCTAGATTTCCAAATTGACCATTGGAAACAAACAGTAGTTGATGGTAAGAAGGCAACTTCCTTTCAGCAATGTCTGTCGATTCAGGGTTTGAAATCCAACTGAAGTTATTTTTACTGCTAAAGCATGTACATCTAAACCCTTGAACAAGATAAAGCTTTCCTTCATCTGTGACCCCAAAGTATTTGAACTATTACTCTGTTATACCGCTGACAGCATGGTGTGCAAGCAGGGCTCATGCTGTCCAAATGAGTCCTGCAGGTGAGACTAAAAATGTGCCCCCTATCCATGGACTTCTTTGTGAGTCTGTTTGCATTAGCTGGTTTATATAGGAGGCAGGAAAGAATATCTAAAGGTGAGCCTAATTTGGGGGTCAGACAATATAGGCAAGTTTGGTGTCAAGAGAATCCATGAGATCCCGTGGGGGGGGGGGGGGGGGGGGAAGAAGCCACAAGCTTTAGTGATAGGAGGAGAAATGGTGGTTTCGGGTGAGTCACGTGGCCATTACTTGAACTCATTGACGCTCAGCCAACCCTAGTCTATAAGCACACTGGGGCTAAGAGGCTTATGTTTCCTAGGGAAAATAGCTATTCCATTCCGCTGATCAGCCTCTCTAGGAAAGTAGAACTCTGTGGAAGAATGTCAGGATCCAACTTGCAGAGGAAAGGTTATCAGCAGAACATCAGGCAACATCCCAGAGGCGAGCTGCAGCAGCACTGAGTGTTTAGAGCAGAGAGTGATAGGAAAATAACACACCAAGCTGTCTGTGCATGAGGAGGGTGAGCGGGAGGAAAGCAGGACCCATGGGATAGCCAATAGTCTAGACAACATTTGAGAGCTCAGGAGACTCGCTTTGGGTCTGGTTTTAAAGCAAGAGGGAACAATAGGAAAGGAAGAGAGATGGAGATCTGGACAATAATAGGTTGGGAGTGAACCAGCAAAATTCTGATAGAAATGTTTAGTATGCTCATTTGTGCACAGATACTACTAAAAGCTGGGGGCAAAGAAAAAATAATAAAAGCTGGGGACATTCAGTCTATATATTATATTCTTTTTTTTTTTTCCTTTTTTTCTTTTTTTTTCTTTTTTCACAAGATTGGGGCTTGACATTGTGGTAAGTTCTCATTTGTTGTCATTGTTCTGTGACTTTAAGCAAAAGGATATATAGCAAAAACAATTTTATAGCATTAAATGAAATGTTATTAGATGACTATGTACATGTGTGGCTCTGCCATGTCTTAGAGCTCAAAAACATTCCTATGGGAGACGTTATGGCACAGTAATCACTTGATACTGAAACACTGCAACTGGAAGTGAGCCCAAAGGATGCGTGGTCCAGGAAAACTACTTTAAGCATAAGCATATTTCCTATTAAGAATAACTTTTATTTTTATTACTAATTGCCTGGTGCATAAAATTTGTGCACATTAAAAGAGAATTAATTAGAGGAAATATTTTAATATTGCTATTTGCCTTTTCTCTATAATAGAAGTGTCAGAGATGAAAGAAAATTAGTAAAATGTATATAAAAATCTCCCTCTTGCCAAAGTCTGGGGTGCACTGTGGGACCTAGAGTCAAGTCCCCGCCCACCACCTGCACACACCTCAAAAATGCAGGAGACCCAGACCTAGCCGGCTCCATCCCCATTGGGTGAGACCCATACCAGGCCAGCCCCATCCCCGTCAAGTCCTTCCAAGCAGAGGGCACAGCCTCAGGGCCCCCAGCCCAGTGCCGGGGTGGAGGGCATGGCCTGAGGTCCCCAGTAAAGCCCTGCCAAGCAGGGGGTGCAGCCTGAGGTGCCCTGGCCCGGCACGGGGGTATGAGGTCTCCCAGCCTGGCACTGGAGCAGGGGGTGCAGCCTGAGGTGCCCTGGCCAGGTGCCATGCAGCCTCAGGTCCCTGCTTTTGGTCTTGATGTTATGCTGTCCGAGCTAATTTGTATATTCCTCTATTATATACATAGATATATTTTTTTTAATCCTCACCTGAGGATACTTTTTTTCATTGACTTTAGAAAGAGAAAGAGAACCATTGATGTGAGAAATATCAATCCATTGCCTACATGCTTGCCCAGAATCGAACCCACAACCTAGGTATGTCTCTCACTGGAATTGAATCAGTCAGGGATGATTCTCCAACCAACTGAGCAAGAATAACTTTTCTTTTTTTAATTCAGAAAAGAAAAAGCTACATGACGGTCAGACTTGGAACTGAGGTGGCTGGGTTAGTGCAAGAGCATGTAGGCACTGGAAATGACCTTAGCTTCATCAGCAGAAGGTCAAAGCTGCTGCAAGCCTGAAGGGAGCCAAACCTGCTTGCCACCCACCCTCCCGTACTTCTTTTGACTCTGAAGTACCACATGCAGTGAAACCATCTTTATAGCACACTTGCTTACTTTAAGATTTATGCAGTACAATTTATATGTCAATGAATTTGTGTATTACTTTAAGTCCCAGAGGATAATCAGATTTCCTGGATTCAAAATTAATAATCATGGATTCAAAATTCACATAATTTATTATATTAATATGCATGTTAAAATAAGTATTGGAGACTATTTGAGTTCAAAGTTTCCATAAAAATTAGATGTACGTATATATAATTAATATTTACAAAGGCATTTTGAGTGAATGTTAGTTTTTCTTAAAGTGTGACTTAAATGGTGGAGCTATTAAAACAGATATTAACCCTCTTAAATCTGGACAGAGAGGAACTCCTGAAGGAGAAGCAGTTATGTAAGATGCCCTGGTGTCTTCTCCCTGAGACTGACTTTTTCTTTGGAGTGTGCTTCCTTATTTCCATTCTCAGTGTCATCAGGACTTCTGACACAGGCAAATTTCCCCTTTAAACATCCAACTCATCACTTAAAATATAAAATTCCAACAACTTCTTCCCAAAAATATAAATGTGCATTTTCAAGAAAAATTGCCCTAAAAAGTAGGAACAGAAAAATTCACATTCACATGGAATACAGTCATTAAATACAGTGCAGACCCTGGCGTAACTCAGTTGGTTTGAGCATAATTCCAACACACCAAAGTTGCAGGTTTGACCTCAGTCAGGGAACAAGCAAAAAAGCAACCAATGAATGCATAAATAAGTGGAATTACAAATTTCTCTCTCTCTCTCTCTCTCTCTCTCTCTCTCTCTCTCTCTCTCTCTCTCTCTCTCTCTTCCTCTCTCACATCTTCTTTGTCTCTAAAATCAATAAAAATAAAAAAGTGCAATTTCAAAATACACTGATGCAACTAAGGAGCCTAGAGAAGTAGCAGAGGGTTGACAATTCCCAAGTCTCCTCAGTTAAAAAAAATACACTTGACAGTGAAGGGCAGATGTAACTTGGGAGCACCTTTTCCTCAACAGATGGCCACTGGCTGCCATCTTATCTGACCTGTCACTTGTGTGTGTTAAACATAATAGTTCATCACTTCTCACCAAAGGACAAAGTACGACATATGAGCTCAGAGTGCCAGATTTCCTCAGTTTTGCTTTTCACTTTGACTGGAAGGGTGGTGGCTCATAACCCATAAAATGAGTCTCTGGGTCTTCCCTTCCTGGCTGTAGTAGTCATGCCTATTATTCCAAGCATTCTCCTATGATTCATTCACTTTACCCCATCCAGCCCATCAGGAAGTGATGAGTCAACACCCACTCATTTCAAATATAAAGTCTTAACCATGCAATAACTGTATCACACAAATACTGTGAATTAAACACAGACACTATCACATGAAATGCAATGAAAGTTGAAGGAATTTAGTACTAACCAAACAAAATACTCAATTCATAAAATAGTTTAAAAAAAAACAACTAAATATTATTTAGTTTTGACTGATCCCTTTAGAGAAATGTGGCATATCTTGGTTTTTGTGTGATCTTTAGCTTTTTAGCAATCTACTATAAAAAATAATTATACAGGACATAACTGCAATAGTCATATTGATTCCTGTGTCAAAAGTATCTATAGTAAACTATATATTCATCTAAACTTAACATTTTTGTATTTTTAAATAATTGTTATTGATTTTTTTTTTTTTTAGAAGGGAGGAGAGATTGAGCCTGGGATTGAGCCTGCAACCTGGGCATGTGCCCTAACCTGGAATCAAACCAGCAATCTTTCGGTGCATGGGATGATGCCCAGCCAACTGAGCCACATTAGCCAGGAATAAAGTTTTAAGAGTTCATAAAAACAAAAAGCTATAATAACTTACTTAGATACTTTTCTTGCTAAACATTAAAATTTGGTATTAAATATTTGGTACCTTTATTCATTTATTAGTATTATCAAAATGAAAATTAGAAACAAAAATAATTGTATAGCTATCAAAGTAAATTTAAAATAATTATATTTAGATATCTTCATTTGTAATCTTCTATCTGTAATTTTAGCTTTACGGAGTTATCATTAAACATGTCAATAGATAACAGGGTGGCAGGAAAGTGAACAATAGGTCAAACTTATTTAAAAAAATTATCCTTATAAAAGAATACTTACTTTTTTGCCTCCCTCTAAGAGGATATATCCTGAGTTTTTCAATAATGTCAACCACGATCAAGGAAGTCAGAACCAGAGAGACTGGTAGGTCAGGCAAGGTGTCAGGCAAGTTATTAGCAGAACCATTAATATTCTTTTGAATCTGTTGTCATAAAACAATTGAGAAGCATTATATTTATATGCTTTCTTTAAAAAATATTTTTTAATTATCTGAAAGCAGTGCTATACATTAATTAAAATACTAAAAGCTTGGTTTTCAGCTTCTCAGATATCCCCACAAGATTTTGAACCATTTCTAAAGATGTAATAAGTATTTATATCAATGGGTGAGCCTTCAGTTCAAGGTAATATATGTGAAAATATAACAGTAGGCTTCTGGTAGTGGTAAAATGGATAATTCCTTTCAGCCTACTAGTAAGCACAGCCTCTGAAAGTCCGATATCAAAGCCTTCAGAGGAAAAGAATTGGAGTTTAGGATCTTCCAAGAAGGGAGAGCCTAGGTAAACCCAGGTAGGCTTTGTGGCTTTCTTCATCTGATTGAGGCATCTATTAAAATAATAAATAATAAATAAATAAATAAATAAATAAATAACTATGGCAAACATCATATTAATGGTGATGTGTTAAGAGTTTTCCCTCTGAGAGCAGGAACAAAACAAAGGTGCCACCATGACCATTTCTGTTCAACAGTGCACTTGAGGTTCCAGCCAGTGTAATAAGACAGGATAAAGAAATAAAAAGTATAAACTTTGAAAAAGAAAGTAAGAAAAACAAACTATTCATAGACTATATGAGTGCATATAAAAAAAAATCCTCACAAAATGGATTAATTATTTTTACATACCAATAGCAAAGAGTAAGTAAGATTTTTAAAAAGATACCATTTAGCCGAAACCGGTTTGGCTCAATGGATAGAGCGTCGGCTTGGGGACTGAGAGGTCCCGGGTTCGATTCCGGTCAAGGGCATGTACCTTGGTTGCGGGCATATCCCCGGTAGGGGGTGTGCAAGAAGCAGCTGATCGATGACTCTCTCTCATCGATGTTTCTAGCTCTCTATCTCTCTCCCTTCCTCTCTGTACAAAATCAATAAAAATATATTAAAAAGATACCATTTAAAGCAACTTCAATCAAAATTCCAAGTTTCTGTGGAAAAAATAAATAGAAATTGCCTCCCTACTGTACAATATGTACAGAAATTAGCTTCAGATGGATTTTTAATCTAAGAGAGAATGGCAAAACAATACAGGACCCAAAATATAATATAGGAGATCTTCAGAGTCATAATATGACAAAATCTTCTCAAATCAAAGCACTATCCATAAAGGAAAGAAATTAATAAATTGAGCTATTTTAAAAATTAAGAACCTCTCTTAATCAAAAAGATACCATTAATAGTATTAAGTCATTGAATGTGAAGATATTTGCAATACATATAATCAACAAAGGGCTTGAGCTCTGAATACATAAAAACACAGATGAATTTATCTGAGGTATTAAAAGTTACAGGAAAGCTATCAATAGGGAGGATGTAGTCATTACAAAGAACATATGGTGGCCTTCGGCAGCTGGCAAAGCTTTATTTCTTTTACTTAAGTGTTTACACAGCAGTTTGCTTTGGGGTATCAAATTAATATTATATATTGATGTTTTGTGCACTTTTCTGTTTGTGTGTTAAGGTGGAGTAGAAAATTACCTGGGTACTCACCACACCCTTACTTAATCTCATTGTCTATTTTTCTCTCTATTACCAGTAAATTACTAAAGATCAGAGTCTGCCAAATTTCCTGAGGGGTCTATTTCCAGTAACTAATACAGCACCTGGCATGGAACATGCATTTAATGATATCTGGTCAACATATAATTGAAATATCACAAAATTATTTAAGTTGTGCACCTTGGAGAAGCGAAAACTTTTTCACAGCACCTTACAAATTAATAAGATTAGCAAGGCAATCTTTTTTTAACTTCTTGGATAATAAATTCTATATCCAGAAAGTTCTGCCTATAATATTCTTGTTCTGCAGGCCTCCATCCATTAAAGCAGCATGTAGTCAAAAATATAAAGTTATTTTTAATTATGTATCATGCACAAATTATTTGTCAATGGGTATATTATCAAAGGTCCTAGAGTGTGAGTGGCTGTTCACAGGAATAATGTCCTTTTCCTTTATAATTGAATATGATCATGAGAAACATCAGGTTAAAAGAAACAAATGTAAATCTATTTTCAAATTCCAATTCCTTGCTTTTAAAAATTACTTTAAAATAATATTCCTGCTTCTCACACACAAACACAGAAGTAATCTCTTTTAAATTGGCTTCTAGACTTTCCTCCTTAATTATGGAAGTCACAATGGCAAATGCATATATTGCGTTTGGGAAGAAGAATGGATAAAATACACCTTAAGAAATTTGTTGGGCACAACACTCTATCAACTCCCAATAATAGGAAATTTTAAAATCTTGCACCAGAAGAAATAAAAATTCCATACCTCAGTCACTGCTATAGAAAAGCTGAAACTGGGGAGTGTGGTGAGTACTACACACATCATCAGAACAGGTCTCCTAGCAAAAGAGAAAAAAAAATAAGCAAGAGCAATAATGTACAAGATCAACAGTTCCTGTTACTTTTTGCTAGTTTTGCAGTTCCTGTTCCATTCATCTATAATTTTTCTAAGAAGCTACTGCTTCCCTATTTCCATTTCCCAAATGCTTGAAGATGACAAAGGAGAACACACGCAAAAAAACAGAATGATTTTCTAGAACAAAGGGTGAGAGATTTCCAAATAATTAACAAATCATAAACTAAAATCCTCACAAGGCAAGACACATGACATGCACTGTTTTCATAATTCATTAGTTAGAATCTTGCCCCAAAATTCAGGCTCTGGTGACCAACTGGAAAAAAGAACATCATGACCTTGTTGTAAAATGTATTTTTCAAAAAATAAATTTAAGATGATAATTAGATATTTAGGGCAACAGAAATTGAAATAAAAATGGGTGTTATTTACTTGAACCCAAAAGAAATCATGTATACATAAAAATCACATAATTTTTCAAACTTGTTTTTGGACCACTTATTAAACTTTTCAAGACCAATCAATCAAATAATTATGAGATATAGTACATATTTTATATTCTACCTTACAATAGAGACAGCTTAAATATACGTTTAGCACCATTAATGTTGGGGAAAACAAAATATATTCAAAACGTTTTCTATAATGAAATATTTACCTTCTTTTTTTCTTAGTTAAATTATTAATTACATTTTTAGCATATTGTGTATCTAATAACAAAAAGAGTTGAAATGAGTAAACTATGAGAGCATTATACTAAGTGAAATAAATCAGTCACAAAAAGACAAACCTATGAAATACCTAGAATAATCAATTTCATAGAGACCGTAATGGTGGGTGCAAGGGATGCAGAAGAGGAGAATGGGGAGCTGCTTAGTGGACATAGAGTTTTGGTTTTCCAAGATGAAAAGAATTCTGGAGATTGGCTGCACAACAATGGGAATGTACTTAATGTTATGTTTAAAAGTGGTAGGATAATAAATTTTATGTTATGTACATTTTATCATAATTAAAACTAATCAAATAAGTAAGTAGATTAAAAAAGTGTTGGGGTCTTTCAAATGACTAGGAATTTCTCAGTACTGACAGGCATCCCTCTAAGCCCATCCCTCTCTCAGATGTTCTGGTTTAGACCTAAATTATGGGGTGGGGTATCCCCTTCCTCACAACTTGATCCAGTGCAACCTGTAAGATCCGGAGTCTGGTCATATTTTACATACACAGCTTTGCCTCCTGTGTGAGTGCAGATCCAGCTTTCTGCAGTACTCAGCTCTCTAAGACCGAGGAGCACATCCATAGAATCCCCTTCCCAACTTCACTCCGGGAACTATTCCCGCACCTCTTCTTTAACTGTATTATCTGCCTTGATTACCTCAGCCAATCCCATTGCTTTAAATACCACACAATTGCCAATGACTTCCAAATATGTTATCATATACAGATACTGGCTTCTATCCTTAGTTTTGGACTGTATGCCCAACTATTTGACACTCCATCTAGATGTTTAAAAGGCAACTGACAATTAACACTCCTGAGGAAGAGCCTATATCCTTTTTCCATAACTGTTGTTACCATCCTCAAATCCATCTGATTTACTGGCAAACTGCATTTTGAATCCATCCTCTGCTAACACAGTAGTTCATATACTATCATCTCTTATCCGCAATATTTTCTAACCAGTTTCCTGTTAGTAACTCTATTCTTATATAACAGTATTTTCTTCATAGAGCCAACAGTCATATTTTTAGATGTAAAAATACATGTTCTCACTGCCCAGCTCAAAAATCTTTAATGCTGGTGTATGAGAGTAATGGAAAGTTATTGTTTATTGAGTACAGTGTTTCTGTTTGGCAAAATGAAAAGAATTCTGTGGATGGATGGTAGTGAAAGCAGCCTGACGATCAAATAGAATAAAATTAAAGCCTATAATCCTGGCCTACATACTCTATATGATGAGGTTTCTCTCATTTCTCCTTCTCTCACCTTTACTTAGAATGACTTACATCTCTAGCACCTCTTTAACTCTGTCCATTCGGGCCACCTGGTTATTTCACACAAAGGTTGCCCCACCTCCTAGTCACATGCTGTCTATTCCTTTTGCCAGGGGCTCTCTATCCATGGATCTTCCATGTCTGGCTTCTTGTTATCATTTAAAAATATATATATATATATATATATATATAACTACCTGAAAGTCTGCTGATTAGTTCTTTATTTGCTTATTGTTTGTCATATTGTTCTTTGTCCATATCCAAGAGAAGTTCCTTGTGAGCAGGGGCCTTATCTAATTGTTCACTACTTATTTTTCACCATCACTGTTTTTCAGCCATTTTTGTGCAATAAAACCTCTAGGACTCTGGAATGTCCTATCGAGGCTTCTAAGAATGTAACTTTTAGATGAACAAAATATTTAAAAATGAAGCAACTAGGTTGACAAAGTAATCCAAAACCTTAAAAAATTGATATATTAGTAAATGTTCCTATCTATAAACACAGTGTCTTCTTATTTTCTTTGGAGTGAAAACTGTAATCACTAGTGGTAACTATAATCACTCATAAGTTCAGGGTAGTGAAGATCATAAACCATATCTTGAATTACGTGCTTGTTTGTAGGGGACCCAAGATGGTGGCAGAATAAATAGAAGTGACACTCAATTCCAACCAGGACCAAACTGCAACTACAGCTAAAATACAGAACAATCAACCTGAATAACCAACTGAAGACTCGCTGAACAGAAGTCTTATAACCAAGGATTTACAAGACTGGAGGGAAGGGCAGAGACACAAAAAGGGTTAGCTCTGCGCCCACGGGTGATGGCTAAGAATCTGGAGAAATATCTCAGCTGCAAAGGCTCCCCCGGAGGAGCATGGAGTCTCATTCTCACACTGGGATCCACAGCCCAGAGCACCAGAGCCAGGAAGAGGTGCCCACATAACGCCTGGCTGTGAAAATGAGTGGAGACTGTCTCCAGAGAGAAACTGAAATAAGATAGAGACACAGATGCCATCATAAAGGGCCAAGACAAAAACCTTGTTTGCAGTCATTCATCCTGAGCTCCAGCAAGGAAAGGGCAGAGTGGAGTCTGGTGAGAGAGATGGGGCTTTGTGGCTCTGGGGAGAGAGTTGAAGGCTCAGACACCAGGATTCCTGTGCTGAGTCCCTCTCCCATATCACAGATGACATCTCTTGGTGGAGCACTTCCCTCCATATGGCATCAGCCTCGGGGAATGCAATAGCACCACCCTCTGGGCTTCCTGTCACACCACACTACCCTGATGAGGAGTCAGCTGCCTGAGCCAGGATGTGGAGGTCTGGGAAGACTCAGGGGTGTCAGTGACGGAGTCATGTGGCTTTGGTGCAGAAAACTATGACCCCCGCTTTCTGATTAACCTGTCCAATGCTTCCCCTACATGAAAGATCCACTAGTCCCATGCTCCCAATTCCAAGCGGCCCTACCTTACTATGCTTGGTCTACTAGCAGAATCTGGGACAGACTGAGTTGTATGGCTCTAGATGGGGCCATTCTTCCCTCTCATGCCTAACTGGAGTAGAGCCTTACATTCAAAAAGGCCAAAACCTTGGTTAGTTTGGGCCTCACTCAGATGACTCTGAGACCCTACCCCATGACAAAGGTATGTGGGCAACTGTTGAGGGGCAGTTAGACTTGACACATTCTGGGGCTTTTTCTCAGACCCCACACTGGCACTGAATTTGAACCTGTATCAATCTGGTGAATATCACTGGTGTTTACCTGATGACTCACTGAGAATTTACCTCATGCAACTTAAATACTGCCAGAGGATGTTTCAGTAACTAAATCTAACAGGCAGCCAGCAAATGGGGGCAGGATTGGGGAGCCTTGGCCCTTTGCTGATGAGCCTCTGGGCTCAGTGCTAATGGAAGCCAGCCTTAGTGAGCAGTATGGTCCTGCCCACACACACCAAGGCCCAACAGAGACAGCCACAAATGGTAGATTGCATTGTAGCATTAAACAGATTGCCCTGGGCTAGTCACAAGCAATGTCTGACATTGACCTGCACCACAGTCTCTCCCAAGAGGCCTCCGAGCAGACACATCCGCTAGCCAGCTCCTGACAATATCAGAGCAGGATCCAATGAGCTTCATAAGAGGCATATGCTGAGTGAGATCTCAGGAAGCACCAGATCCTGCTGAGGCAAATTTCACTTCATGCGGTAAGTACCTGTGCAACAACTTGTACACTGCAGTCAGGGTCCATCTTCACAGTCAGCAAGCCTGAGGGTCAACCCCATATACAAATGGGGCAATAGCAATCAAGACTCAATTACAGGTTATCATTTAAAATAGAAGGAGAAATAAAGAGCTTTCCATACAAGAAAAAGTTAAAGGAGTTTATTAATACCAAACCAATATTATAAGAAATGTTAAAGGATCTTCTTTAAGAAGAAAAATTTTTTTAAGATAAAAAAAAACAGAGGGAGATAGTTATAAAGAATAAAATAGTAATAAATACATATTTACTTATAATCACTTTAAATGTAAATGACTTAAATGCTCCAATAAAGGATATAGGGTAGCTAAGTAGATAAGAAAGCAAGATCCATTTACTATTATATGCTGTCTACAAGAGACCCACTTCAGAATGAAAGATATACACAGACTACAACTGATAAGATGGAAAAAGATATTTCATGCAAATGGAAATTTAAAAATAGCTGGGGTAGCGATACCATACCAAACAAAATAGACTTTAAAACAAAGTTTACAAAAGGAGATAAAGAAGGACAGTACATAATGTTATAGGGAGCAATCCAACAAGCAGATAAAATCCTTGTAAACATAGGGGAACCTAAATATATAAAACTAATCTTGATAAGTAAAGGAGAGATCAACAGTAATATAGTCATAGTAGGGATTTTAACACCCCATTGTCATCAATGTATGGATACTCCAGTCAGAAAATCGAAAAGGAAATACCAGTGTAAAGTGATATATTAGATCCAA